ATATATATATATATATGTGTGTGTGTGTGTATGTGCGCGCGCGCGCGCGCGCGTGTGTGTGTGTGTATATTATAAGAATTTTTCTTATTAGAGCAAACAGCTCATTATGATAAAATCTTTGCTAAGCAAATTATATCCAAGTTTAATTACACGAGTTTGCGATTCAGCATTGTTTTGATAAAATTGCTATTGTTAATATTGGAGATTTTTCGCCAACATTCTTATGAGTAACAGTGCCAACGTAGGCGTAAGCGTTTAAGCAAACGCTCATTATCGTTTATTTCGATGGGCACACGTTTTATGACTGATTTAAGCTATATATATATGATCATACTTTTTGTCATATTGTTTATATAAATGCGTTTACAATTGGTAAACTGGATTGATGAAAGAATAAACGTATTGACAAATAGTCGTATAGCAACACATGTAACAAGTTCTGTAATTGTCGTGCTTTGTACTTAAGCTTTCTTGTTAAATCGTTAAGCGGTTTAATATCAATTGGGTACGTGCTTTACGTACGTACTTATGTTCGTAAAAATCTGTACATTTATACATAGCTGTAGCATCGATAGAAGCGTGTACACAACTTTTTACGTTATACATATACATACAAGAAATTATATCGCATTCTGTCCAGAAACGACTTTTATTTCTATTTTCCCAAATAGTACCCAAATTTTTTTTAATATAGCCTCTTGATACCTTTGTTCTCTTAATATATAATTACAATTACATACATATTAATCTGAATGTTATAAATATATAAGAATCTTTACAAAAGCGAGGTGTAGTAAAGTTGTCATTTTTTAATAGAATTCGTAATTGTAACAACTAAGAAGCGCATAGAGCCATTACAGAAATTTGATTTGATTAGGAAGTAATGATTAACTACTTATTTTGATCAGTATTAAAATTTTGAATATTAAAAGCATTTTAAGTATTAATAACAAGTATTTTCAATGTTTAATAAAAGCATTTATTAATTATTAATGTTTTTAATATATACTCAGAATGAATAATTAATCTTTATCTTCCAATATTAAAGAAGGATGTTAATTAAAAGTAGCCCAAAGTAAATTTTTCGCCCAAAAAAGCATATAAATAAAAGAAATAATGTTTTTTATAGATTTTGACTTACTAGATACAATAAAGTTATTAAAATGTTTGTGACATTTGGGAAACATTTCAGAAATTGAGCAAATGGTACATTTATTGAAATTTTGATAATACACCATGTTCGTGTTCAATTTCTGAGGAAAGTGTATTCCCTAAATGCTATGAACTTATAATAATTTTATCATATCCAAGAGGTCAAAATCTACAAAAAAAAAAAAACTATTCTCTTTGCTTACATCTTTTTGGGCAAAAATCGATTCTCTTTTTGAAATTCTTCTTTCTGTACTGAATGAAAACATAGCTTTTCATTATCGATAAAATACATTTAATTGACAATTCTATTTTAAACGTTCATTCGGACTATTATCTGCACGATTCGTAGATGCAAAGTTTAATTTTTCGAGATTCAAAAGATATTTAGAGTTTATCGTTATTTTTCATTATGCAAATCGTTATGCAAATAGTAATATGGATTTTAAATCGGTGATCGGCATTACTTTAAAAATATATTTCATCAATATCTTACTGAGGTTACATTTTCATTTCAATAAACGTCGCTGAAGCTTTTAGGGGTCGTCGGAGAAAGTGCAGCGGCTGAAACGTTCCTTAGTACGTGTTCTTAGCTGTTCAGACAACACGAAACTTTCAACGGACATGTATGGCAGCCACATAAGCTAATTATATCAAAGTGCTCGAAATTCTTATTCGATATTTCACATTTGCATACACGCGGTGCGGATATGCATAAATCGCGACCTTTATATAGTATTTCAGAGAATTAAAAAGTCATTATCAAAGCGATAAAGTATTAGCTGCTTTTCTTAATTTTGTTAATGTATATGTATATATAACCGTTTCATATTTTTTGATCTATTGAATTATCGCCAAATAAAATTTCATCTTTGTCATCTTTGTATGCCCAAAAATAAATACATGAATCTTCTATTTTTATCTTATTTCCCGCACGATAGGCACAATAAATTGTATCTTGCGCCGCCGAATTGATGAGCACACATAATTGGCCTCAAAGTTTCATATTAGTTACGGTCATGAAATAATTTTGCTGAGATTTCTACTTTCTCAAATGTTCGCCAATGGAAAGCATTTATATTTTTAATTTTTAATAAATTTCAAGCACTAAATAGATCTTTTTATTCTCAAAACCCAAAGTTTAATTATCTTGAAATGAGAAATATATAATTTTACATCATTAAGAATACAAAATGTTTTTTAATCCAAGATACAAAAGTTCAATTATCTCATTATTTTTATTAAATTAAATAAAAAATATTAAAGTTAAATTATTCTTATAATTTCGTATAATGAATGCATGTAGAATTTAATTGTTCCATCTAATAAACATTTGTAATTTCTATTGCGAGGCAAAAGAATTGATGTAAAGATGTTGATTGCGTAGCTTGTAAATAATACAATTTTTTACATTTTAAAATTATAGGATTTATTTTATAATAAAATACATTAAAATTGGGTGATTTATGCTGCGTCTGAGTACAGCTTTAACTTTTAACACTTATTATTACGGCATTTTCTCAATGCACACATTTATGCAAAGCTGGACACACCGAAGAAGACCAGCTCAGCATATGAAAATGGATTGAAATGGAAATTTTCAATCTATCCGAATCCGTACTTTAAATCCATAAAAGTGGATTGAATTCCATATAAAAAATTTTTATACATGTAAAAGTTTAAATAAATTAAAGTAATAATTACATGAAATTCTATAGTTATTATTTTAAAACTTTTATACAAAAAAATTACGCTAACTGTATAATAAAGGAATATTGATATAAAATATACATAAAAGCGATTAATTTATTAAAAATAAGGAATTACATTTACATTTATTGCACATACGTAGTTTTTTTTATGTCTCTTTTATCAAATGAAGTAGAATTCATTGATATATTTTTACTTCTTTTACTCAGTTGAATCGTTAAAACGAAAAATTTTTTATTCATAATTCTGAATAAAATATCATTTATGATGTATTTTTAAATAAAAAAATGGATTTTCCACTTATAATTTTGAATTGAATACGCCCATTTTAAGAAAATGAACCATTAAAAAAATTTTTTTTTATTCAATTGGATTAAAAAACTGTATTTCCTATTAAAATTATGAATTTAGCAGTATTCACGATGCACACACACCACAAAATATTATAATATTATTTTTAGATTCAAAAGCATAGAAATATGCTTCATGCCATTCCAAGAAATGAATAAAAATGCATTCAAAATTGAGAAGAAATAGATATATATATAGAAGAAATAGATTTATTTTGCAATTCCTATAAATGAATAAAACTGCATTAAGAATTGAAAAGGATTCATTTTAACATTCATATTTTTGAAAATATGGATCCATTTTAATTCATTTCAATTCATTCTCATTTGCTGGGAGGTTATCAAAGATCCTAACGTAAAAATGGCGAGAGGAATAGAAAGGCGTATGTATCGTATATGTATGAGCGCGCGCGCGCGCGCGCGCGCGCGTTGTGTGTGTGTGTGTGTGTGTGTGTGTATGCGCGCGCTGTAACTTTCACTGGCACGGCGTTAAGAAACGTCGTGCCAGCGATCGATTACGCAATAATTTACGTAGCCGTGATAGTAAAGAAAGCATGAAGCAGGTTTTAGCGGATTAATTTCGCGGAATGAAAGACGGAATGATTGTCCAATTTGGACAACATTCTAACGAGTGAAACGCTCATCGCTTTCTGGACATCTGTGTTTCCTCATACGCCTCATATGCCAGTCTTACAACTGAAATTGACCTTTATACTTTTAATTATTATTTTCACTTTCATTATCATAATATCTCAATCTCTTTTTTTTGTATGTCGAATACGAAAGCAGATTCAAGCAGAGAGAGAAAGAGTGAGTGAGAGAGAGAGAGAGAGAGAGAGAGAGAGAGAGAGAGAGAGAGAGAGAGAGAGAGAGAGACATGTACATTTAATAGAAACAATATAAAAAAATATACAGAGCATATAAAAATCAAATATAAAAAATTGTTTTAAAATATGAAAATTTTCAAATGAGAAATATATATAATATAGTACTCTGTAATTAATTAAAAATCAAATATATGTTACATCGATCTCTCGATTGAGCCTTCTTTAGATATTCGAAAGAAAAATTGTACACGTACGAGTGATGTTACAATGATGAAACTCAGAAGAAAGAACTCGAAGAGATGGATGATATTATATACATAGTAATGATGACCAGAGAGATATTTCACAGAGAGATGGAAATTGCTCG